TGTATCGCAAAATTCTAGTTATAATTTGCTTTTAAAAACTGAATAATAAAGAGAATTAGACACGCATTTTTTTAATTCAAAAGCACACTTTCAATTCAGTATTGTCACAATTAAAACCTAACAAATATTCGAATCAAAAGCTACACAAAATTACAGCGTTTTCTATCAAAAAAAGGCATGTTAAATTATTTCAGGTTTATTAATTTGTATCAAAAATGGGGTCATGGCGGATTTGGTGTGGTGCTGACTGGAAATATACAGGTGGACCAGAGACACATTGAATTTGCCGGAAACACAATCGTGGATAAGGCGCTGGATTGTGATGAGCGCCGCAATGCTCTGCGAAGAGTGGCGCTGTCTGCGAAACTTGACGGAGCGCTTGTATTTGCGCAAATCAGTCACGCTGGCCGTCAGACGCCTCTTTTCATTAACGAGCATCCATATTCGGCCTCAGACGTGCAGCTACATTTCATTCGATCGGGAACCGGCTTCGGAAAGCCTGTGCCACTAACAGTGGACCAAATTAAGGAGGTATTAATTTTTTTTTTTACTTTGACACTTCGATCAGCTGTCGTTTCAACGTCCAGTTTTGTCTCGCCACTGATGCAGATGGCGAAATCTTCGATATGTCATTATTTATTATGTTTTGCTCCATTCCTGCATGGCGAATAGAAAGCCATACTAATGATTTCTGCTCCTACTGGTATTCGATTCACTGTCTGTATTTACAGCTAAGGGACAAAACACAGACTGCATACTTACCTTTCGAGCATGAAAATTTCAAACTACCTTACTGGGTATTCCATTCAGCTCATCTTTCTCGTCCACGTGATTTCATACAGGCGTTCAAATGGATTCATTCACCGCAGCAACGCCTTTCCAAGTGTTCTTTGCTAGAGGCAGTCACTTTTTCGACTATTCAGTTAGTATGAGAAATAAAGCTAATGTACGTAGTAATCGAAGAAGTTCGAACAGCAGAGCCTTTTACATAATTGTTAACGGACAGATGTTTTTGATTTAAAAAAAATCTCTATCGTTTTATCAAAAAACTCCGTCATTTTATCCAGATCGTTTGCTTTTTTGTCAGAAGAAAACTTCGAAATCTTAATTTTATTTTTTGAATTTTACTCCTCTTTCGACACAAATTTGCAGTAATTTCCAGGTGGTTGCACGATTCGCGTACGCTGCAAAATATTGCGCAGATGCAGGTTTTGATGGTATCGAGCTACACTGTGCACACGGCTATCTTCTGTCACAATTTTTAACACCGACAACAAATAAGCGCACCGATCAGTATGGTGGTTCTCTAGAAAACCGCACGCGAATTGTGTGCGAAATTTACAAGGAAATTCGAAATGTTGTCCCAAAAGACTTTGTAATCGGTGCAAAAGTGAACTCTGTGGAATTCCAGAAAGACGGTCTAAATACCGAAGAAGCAACAGAAGTCTGTAAAATATTGGAAAATGTTGGATTTGATTTCATCGAGCTTTCGGGAGGCACCTACGAGCACTTGGCATTCCAACACGAAAGGGAATCGACACGAAAGCGTGAAGCATTCTTTCTGGAATTCGCAGACAGAATCACAAAACAAATTAAAAAAAGCATAATTTATGTCACTGGCGGATTTCGCACCGCCAAAGGAATGTGTGAAGCGGTTCAGAGCGGAGCTACCCAGGGGATTGGTCTCGGGCGACCGGCTGCCCAGGAGCCGGATTTGCCAAAGAAAATACTCTCCGGAAATTCAAAAGGAGCAATAAAAAGTCTTTTGAACCAAGACGATTTTTTTCTAACGCTGCAAGCTTGTAACACGCAAATGGCTCAAGCTGGGAAAAAGCCATACACAAGCGATGCGGAAATTTGCGGTGATATCATGGATTTGAGTGACCAGGCTGTGGTTGATGAGTTCCTGGCTGCGCTAAAGAAATTTCTGAAGGAAGCCGAGGAGCGGACGAAGAATGGCGAAGTAGTCTATGGAGTAGTTGAATTCAGGACCTAGGCAATAAACGACCAGCAGAAGCAATCACTGTTCGTTGTGAGTCTCACCTTACCTCTTCCTACTGAGTTTGTGAGTGATAAAGCATTCGGATGAAGCACCGTAATTCAAGAGCAGTTCCATGTATACAGTCCTTATTTTATAGCCATTTTCGAATCCTTATTTTGCCGGTACTATTGTCGTTATTTTTTGCCCAAATTCAGCCCCATTCTTGTATGATGCACGGTTGTTTACTTACTTTATATGCGTTGAAATTTGGCTCCCAAGCCAGACGGTGAATGATTTGAATTTAGCTAGCTAGTGCTGTGTTGATTTTTGAACGAACGAAAATTTAGCATTTTTGTTCCTGAATTCAGTTTTGTATTATTGGAAAAACATTGCTCTCGGGCAAAGTATCACAGAATTTAAAGTATGCTGCAATCTTGCTTGCATATCGATTCAGTTTATTGGATTTGGCTTGACATTGATGCTACGTGTGCTACTATTGTTATATGTCACTATGGAAACGATTTGTGCAAAAAAAGAAAGTGGCACAACGAATTCGTTCTTGCATGCATGTGTGTGTATGTATGTGTGTGTG